TATTGCGTATGTTGAGGAAGGTATTCAGGATTGCTGCCAGATCAGTCAGATCTGCCCATAGCTGACTGCAGAAGGTGTGGTTCACCTGATGTAATTGAGAGCTTCACGCCGGGTACCAGCAGGGCTGTGGGGCAGTGAAAAAAGCAGCTTGGGGTAGTTCTGCAGGAGGAAAAAGAACGGGGCCCGGAAGAGGCGAGGTTGCCGCCTTCAGCAGCCTGAAATTCAGCCACCAGGTTTTTTAATTGCCAAGAAGCGAGTGGCAATGAAACATTTACTCTTACAGTGTCCTTTCTGTAGACGATTAAATGTCCCATGTTTCTGTGGCGATGCCTTCCCTGTGCCTCCAGTCCCAGGAAGTTCACTCCCTCCTTTCTCCCTAGAAATGGAAGCCCGCTGTCAACACACCCTGTTGTGCTCCCAAATCGTTAAGCCAGAATCAGGTTGTAGGAAGCAAAGCCCCAGTCCATGTTGTTTTTAGATGCAAACATAGATCAGCTCAGGACCGGGGAGGGTGCTCAGGCCCTCACAGAGGTCAAGAGAGGCCGAGGCCACCAATGTTCCCTCTAAGCTGAGTTAGTGTGAGCTGGCTCACAGTTTTTTAGCCTCCAGCTCACACATTTTTGTCTCGGCTCAGGAAGGATGGCTCCAGAGCAAACTGATTATGCAGTAGCCAAATCACCTGCTCACAACTCTAATGCCAGTAGCTCACAAAGTAGAATTTTTGCTCACAAGGCTCCACAGCTTAGAGGGAACATTGGAGGCCAATTCCATTTTCGAGGGAAACCCCCCCCCAGTAAATTAAAAAACGAAGAAATGCAAAAAACGATACAAAATTTAGTAGCATTATATTTTAAATGTTTACATTTAATACAGTAAGAAGAAGAATATTGTAAGACTTTGTAATAAATGTTCCCATGTTTATTTAACATGGGATCTAACATCAAAAGTGAACATTTGGGGGGGGGGCAAGAATGTGAGGCCTGGGCCAAATGTCCCTGCTGGCTCCCCCTCTCAGAGGCCCTGAGTGCGTTGGGCATCAGGAGAGTGGCCTTGTTCAGCGTCTGTACATCCCAATACCCCCCCCCCCCAAAAAAAACCACCCACAACCTTAACCCTTCCCCGCCCCGTTATGTGTGTTGGCTGCTGTTTTCTAAATCCAGGTTCAGCAACCTTTTTGAGCCTGCGGGCACCATTGGAATTCTGACACCGTGTGGTGGACACAGCCACAAACTGGCTGCCGTAGGAGGCAGGGCTGGCCGTGAAATGACTGCGGTGGCAGCTGCTGCCTGAGCAATTGTTGTCGTTAACCAATCAGAAGCCTTTCTGAGCAAGAGCCCCACCTGGACCCACCCACTTTCTGAAAAGACTTGGGTGCCAGGAAAGGTGTGTTGTTGGATCCCTTGGTGCCCCCTGAGCGCCATGTTGGGGATCCCTGGTCTAAATGCATGGTCCAGACCCTAAGGAAGGTCGTGAGCTCTGGCATAGGGACCACCTGGAACGACCTTCTTGGAAGGCACCACATTCAGTTGCTTCAGGTCAGTGAACGGTGAGATCACAGCAGTGAGAAAGGATTGTTTTTAGGACAGGCTGGTTCAAAGCCCCCTCCCGAGAAAATGCCTCCCTCTTTTTTTTTTTTCTTCCCCCAGCCTGGTCTGGCCCTGTCTTCCCTGATCTCCCCCACCAGTCTGCCTTTTGATGCCGGAGGAGAATCCTCCATCAAAGAAATGTCAGCTCTGGTTCCTCTTCCTGCCATGTGACTGTCACATGACTTGCCGTAATGTGCTCGTAGTTCAGTGGATCTCACACTGCTGCCTGAGCATTAAAAATAGATCTGGAGTCTATAAACAGGTCGAAGACCAGTGGCTTTCACGGAGGTTACACACATTGATATTTCTCGGGTGTTTGCCCATGCTTGGGCCAAAAAGAATACCCCCCCCCCCCAAAAAAAAACCCCGCCACCACTTCTTGATCTACTTTTGTTTCCACTTTGTTGCTTCATTCTTTTCTTTCTTTGGCCTCCCAACAGTTGTGTACCATCACGGAAACAGCGCGACTGGTGGACATTACACTACAGACGTCTTCCAAATTGGTCTAAATGGCTGGTTACGCATAGATGACCAGGCAGTCAAAGTGATTACTCAGTACCAGGTGGTGAAGCCGTCTGCCGAGCGCACAGCCTACCTCCTGTACTACCGCCGAGTTGACCTGCTTTGAAACCTCCTTTTCTGCTGTGTTTGCGAGATTACCTGCTTTCTAGAACGCCAATTCTCTCTCCCTCTAACTCTTTTATTCCTCTTCTCAATGCTCTTCTGAGTGAACCCCGTCTCCCCCTTTTCCCCCTCCTCCCACAACTATGGGATAGAGTGAAAGGGAAAAGACTACCTTGGGCCTTGTGTTGGCTTATCGACTTTGCTGATTGAAGTCTTGAGTTTGAAAGACTCAGTCTCACAAGTCCACACACAGAGGTTGTTTTTCTTTTTGCGTGAATGCTGAATCCTAAGAGATTAAAACGGGGGATTTGCAAAAGTGATTCCCACTTTCTAATTGCGTAGTCGAGAAGCAGCCCTGCACCAGCAACAGAACTTGTAGATTTCTGTGAAAAAAAAAGTTTTATCTTTACTTAAATAAAAAAAACTAAAAAAAAAAATTCCTCTCAACATCCTCCCCGACCCCCACTAGTTTTTTGATAAATGGTAAAATATGAGCCAGTGTATATCAAGAAAAAATGGTCCTTTAAAAAAAAAAATTTAAAGAAGAAGAAATATCTTGCAAAAATGTATGACAGAGTTGCTGGTTCCAGATAGGAAAAAAAAATACACATTTTAATAATTGTGCGATGAGAAACTGCTTACACATTGCAGATCAAAATACTTGGAGTTAAGATGTTAGTCTATATAGATGGGTGATTGTAATTTTATTGCTATTAAGAGATTTCAAAACTGCATTTATGCTTCTGTGTACATGGGATTTTAAAACACACACAAAAAAAGGGCAAGATAATGAAGGTTGATATTTCTTTCGGGTCTGCTTTGTTTAATTTTGCTGTCCGCTCTCCTATAATGTTGAGTTCCTAAGTGTACACAGTCTAGTGATATCTAGGAGTATAAAGTTGTCGCCCATCAATAAAAAAAAAGTCACAACGTTGGTTTAAAGCTGTGAGAGTGTTCTTTGATGGGTGGGAGGAGTGGGGCTGATCTTTAATCAGAAACTATAGTTGAAGCTGCAAAAGTACCTGTGGGGCAAGACGTTGGAGCAGCCCCTGGGCACGCCCTCGCTGAGGGGACCCCAATGCAAGCAGAACAGGCTGTGTGCCGAAATGCCTAAAGATACAGAATTGCCAAAAATGTTAAAACCTGGCGTGTGTGGTTTTTTTCCTCTTGGAGGAGAAAGAGAAATTTGGTGGGTGAAATTATAGTTTATACCACATGTTCTCATGTTTAAATCTGTGTGCTTTAAGAATATGAAATGCATCTTGTACAGCTTAGCACATAAAATATACTGTTTACAGACATTTTTAAACAGTACCAGGGCTGAATTCAGAACAGCAAGTTTGCCACATACTGACACACCTAAGTGTGTTACTTTTTGCCAACTGAGAAAATAAGAGCTGAAAAGGGGAACAGCGCTGTAGTAAAAAAAACAAAAAAAACCTTTGTTTTTGGCTTAAAAATTGAATTTGTTTCTGCACAATAATGGTGAGAAATTTCCTTTTTGGTAGAAAAAGGAAATGTTCCTGTAATTAAGTAGAAATAAATCTGGATATTCAGTTAAACCCTTTATACATGGACTGTAGTCTTAGAATGCTCATTATTGACTTTTATTTATAAAATTTTGTATTCTGCCTTTTTGTCCTCATAAGGCCTACCGAGGTGGCTAACAGAATAAAACATTCACATTTAAAAACCATTAAAAGTAACCTCCCCCAAATCACACGTTATTAAAACTGTTAAACGGTTAAAAAATAGGTACATGGCATAAAAACACCAATGAATGCTAAACAAAAAAATCTAGATGGGTAGCTGTGTCTGTAGCAGTAGAAAAGAGCAAGAGTCCAGTAGCACCTTAAAGATTAACAAAGTTTGTGGCAGGGTATGGAGCTTTCGTGAGTCACTGCTCGCTTCTCCAGATACAGTTAAGAGTGTGAGTCCATCTGTCCACTCTGAGATAAATGGATGGCAGGGGGTGTCTCTATTTCCCTTTAAAATGGGCTGCTGGGGTCTAAACTGGAGGCTGGACAGGAAAGATCATGAGGCTGTGGATAGCTTGATGAAAATGTATAGTTAATATGCGGTAGCAGTTGGGGGGGAGGCAAAACTCCATGTTGGGGGCTATTAGGATTGAAAATAAAGCTCCCTGTATTGCAGTGCACCTGTATAAAGCTATGGCGTAGCCTCACTTGGAATACTGTAAGCCGTTTGGGTGCCTTTATCTAATCAGGGCTTTTTTGTGAAGGGTACTCACTGGTACGAAGTACCAGCAACCTTCTCCCCCCCCCCCCCGGGATTTTTTCCCTCCTCCGGATCTTCATTCACCACCCTGCTCCACTCAGCCAAGAAAGAGTGGCCCTCTGCAACAGCTTAATAGGGATGTGTAGAGGGAGGGGGGAATTGGTGGATATCAGAGCAACTTTATATATGAGTGCTGGCATTTTTTAAAAAAATAGAAAAAGCATTTGGTAATAATGCAGAAAGGAGGGGATGGCTGGAGATTGGGACTTCTCTGTGTAGAAAAGATGTCACTGGGTGGGGAAGGGGGTATCTGATCTAGTAAGCCACCACTTATGGTGGTATTGACTGATGTGTAACTCAGAGCCTCCCTGATCCGTCTTGCTGCCCCCAGAATGAGGCTTTCATTCCGAAGTAAGCTTGTTGGCTGAATTCGTGCTCCGTGCTCCCAAGTTCCTTGCCGAGCCCTGATGATTCTAAATAGGTAAGTAGGACATAGATAAGAACATAAAAGAAGCCATGTTGGATCAGGCCAATGGCCCATCCAGTCCAGCACTCTGTCACATAGTGGCCAAAACCCAGGTGCCATCAGGAGGTCCACCAGTGGGGCCAGAACTCCAGAAACCCTCCCACTGTTGCCCCCCAAGCACCGATACAGAGCATCACTGCCCCAGAAAGAGTGTAATATCTATACCTTGTGGCTAACAGTCACTGATGGACCTCTGCTCCATATGTTTATCCATATATTTTGCAAACTATGTAAAACAATATTCCAAGAGGGGGGTTGTAAACAAGTAATTAAAGCTGTAGAGTACAAAATGGCTTCACAAACCTACTTGGGTAAAAGATCAGGATGTGTAGTCTTTTCTGCTGTACATAGCATATTGTAAATAGGATCTTATTTTGTAATTTCCTTGTGGCTAATGGCCATTAATGGACCACTGTTCCATAGGTTTATCCAGTCCCTTCTAGAAGCTGTCTGTGCTTGTAACCGCCTCCGCTTCCTGTGGCAACATCCTTCCTTCACCACAACCATCCCATGGACCCCATTTTCACAGATGTCACACCAAAATGTGAAGTATCCCTTGCAATCCCAGCTATATCCTGTCAGCCGCCACTGTTCCTCTGTTGCTATATCCATTTCCACACTCAAGGTAGAGGGTCGAACAGTCCCCAGCAGCCTGCAATCTCAGAGATCCAAACCCACAAGGTTCCTGCTACATTTATTTGTTGATCCACATTATAGTTCGCCTTTCTCAAGACACAAGGTAGATTTCATGGTACAAGTTAAGTACAATCAACAGTATAGGTAATCCCATGAACACTGTGATAGAGTTTTGATGGCAGAAATCTGAAACGGCCATGGACCCTGCATTCGCTCTGTGGGTCAAGGAACACCGAAGTTGGGGTCTTTATTCCCAGCAACTCTGCTGTCCCTAAAACGTTTGTGAGCTCTAGGTCTGTTTCCTGCTTTAGGCTTAAGAAATTTGGTTCACTCTGGCCTTGGTGTGGGTAAGCAATTCTTTGAAGGAAGGCATTGAATTCTTTTAAGCCACTTAGATTCCTTGTTTATCCTCGACCCCAGTTGGAAATGTTGCATAGCTGTTGGCCTGGAAGAAACTCTGCTTTTAGCTGCATCTCGGGTTCTCAGGTTCAAAGCTGGAGAAGCAGTTGCGAAGGATGCCCTTGGTGTCCTCTCTCTTCTGACTCGGCAGCCAGCATGAATTCCTCCAAGGCTGTTTGTCGAGATTAAGACTGCAGTGCTGGAAATGAGGCATGGTCAGTAGTGGAAGAGAACATCCGCTTTGCGTGCATACAAGTCTGGGTTAAACCCCTTGTATTTCATTGGAAATGACTTCACAGAGATGCTCCAACATCTGGTGGTTCAGCTCACGTTCTGTTCGCCAGTTGAGTGCAGGGAGCTAAAGTTTCATCAAGCAGTTGGGCTGTGCATCAACCCATTCATGGCCAATCGACGGATTTCTTCACTGTATTCATTACTAACGGAAGGATCTTTTTTTTGTGGTGGTACTCAGCATTATTGAGTACCAGTGCCTTGGAGGGGGGAACTGGGGGGTGTCCCTAGCCCTGATGGGAGAATTGGAAATCAATGCAACCTTATATATGAGAACCAGTAGCTTAAAAACAAACATACACCTTGCTCATCATTCTCAAATTACCCTTTGGCCTTCATTTTGCCTGGGTCTCGGTGTGTTTCCTTAATACAAGGGAGGCACTGAAGAAAGCTGTTTCTTATGATGTGGTGGATTGTCACGATGTGTTAGATTGTGTAAGAGGAAAGGGTTGCCTGTTTTGAAATGCTATGTCCTTGCTGAAATTAAAAACCTATCCACAAGAGTTCTGATTATTGATGTTTTGGTAACTAATTGGATGTGGCTTCTAGCAGTCTTTGTTTCCATGATGTTACAAGATTGAATTCGGCTCCAGGGTGTCACTACACAGCTTCGTAAGATAACTTTTTTTCTTTCTGGAATTAATGAGTGTTTTAATCCTAATCGCACAAAAAAAACAAGTGTTGAAATCCTATGAGAAAAGGAGTTAATTGGTTCATCGTGTTAAAGATTGTTTTCACCAGGGCTCTTGCAATAGGCCAGCAGATTGGCTGTAAGCCCTTTGAGGAATTGAACCACTCTGTGGAGCAATGCAAAACATCATTATCACTTAACCACAGTTGCTGCACTCCTTGTTACTGAACAAAATGTGCTGTCTTCTGAGAACGTTGCTGTAACGTTATCAGTGCATCGTTGGAGATGGTTGGGAAGGGGCTGTGGCTCAGTGGTAGAGAGCCTCTGCTCATCATGGAGAAGGTCTCTGGTTCAATCCCCGGCATCTCCAGTTAAAAAGGACTAGGCAGTAAGCAATGCTTCCTCTAAGCTGTGGAGTCTTGTGAGCAAAAACTCTACTTTGTGAGCTGCTGGCATTGAAGTTGCGAGCAAGCGATTTGGCTACGGCATAAATTAGTTTGCTCTGGAGCCCCATCCTTCCTAAGCGAAGACAAAAAATATGTGTGAGCCGGAGGCTAAAAAACTGAGCTAGCTCACACTTAACTCAGCTTAGAGGGAACACTGGCAGTAAGTGATGCGGGAGACCTCTGCCTGAGATCTGATTCAGTAGAAGGGTCTGATAATTCAGTAGAAGGCAGCTTCATCTGTTCATGAGTATTACTGT